CCAACCGGCAAACGTGTTTCCTGCGGTGGAGCCCACGTCGACGGACCAGTTCTCCCTCTCGACACGTAGGATGCTAACCGTGCCGTTTCGGGGAATGATGCCATGGCTACGTCATCGGAATGAGTTGTCTTTCTCCCGTCAACCCAATCAAAATCTGCCACGACTGAAATGAAAGCACGTGCGTCGATATTACGAATTTACCCTCCTCGCGAGTGGGGAATATGCTTTGAATCAGGGATTTGGAATTGGAATTGGAACTGAACAATCTTTGATTTAACAACAAAGAAAGAGATCCCTCCCCCCCCATCTTGTCTACACAGCGGGAGATCAAGATGTGGTCCATTCCATGTTTTCCTCCGTGGCTATTTAAGTATTTCCATATATTTGGCACAGCCGCACAATACTCATTTTCAATTTCAAATTGTCACCTCATAAACCTAGTTTTAATACTTTTAGGAATTTTTGTTTTTTAATTTTCCATTAAATTTTGTACTTCCAGATTTGAGTCTTCGATTATTTGGAAAAACAAATCCATATATTTTTTAAAAATTTTGGTTTAAATAGTTTTTTTAGTGCAATTTGTTTGAATTTTGTGGGGGAAGAAAAGCGGTGTCGTCACGTGTGGACGTCATTATTCCGGTCGGCAAATCCATTCCCTAATTAATTAGCAAGCTAAAGCCGGTCTCGAAGAGGGAGCAGTGGGGCCCGCAAGTACCACGTGGACGTTCCCCGCCATCGCGTTTCACGTCTGACAAATCGGCACGATTTCTTATTTCGGTAGCTTACCAATCCCCTATTTGAGTCAATTGCAAGCGAGAGATATTAGACAACCCTAATTGAAATCACACGCGGCATCCTGCGTGGACGCACCGTCTAATCCTATTGGGCATAGTACACGTGTCGCGCTGCTGGTTAATCCTTTTTTCCTGCTCGGAAAAGAGTTGTGGCCCATTGCAGCGAGTGGAATTAAAATGCGAGAGAAGAGAGTAGTGCAGCGGGCAGTCATTCGGTGCGGCAAACCTCACGCCTTCTACGCGTGAGCCCAGGCCTGGCCGTGGTTCGATATTCTTATATATTTTATATTATATTAAATAATTGAATATTTCTTTTTCCGAAAAAGGGGAAAATAACAAATTAGTTGTAAATATAAGTGCGACCATCCTGGATCCAGAGAGTCAAGGCCAAGCGTGCTTTGCGCTCGAAAGAGAGAGAGTACTTGCTCGTCTAGAGAGAGAAACTCACAGTGAGAGAGACGACAGGCGACTGGCGACCGTCGGCGAGGCCGCTGTCCATGGTGATTTGGTCCGACGTTTGGAACGAGTAACGCGAACGGAAAGTTTCGAGGATAACGCCATTTTTGTAAGGGGTTTTGTTTCACTTGGCGAGAGATCGTTGTTCCGCTGCTGCTTCTAGAGATTATCTCCCCTGGTTCCTGATAGAGAGAGATTTGGCGTTTCAACTGGTGTAATTGGCCTTAGGTTTTTACTCTACGGCGGGAATTGAGAGTAATATGGTGGGGATGGAGTGGCCTGGGAGTCTTGATGAATACGAAAAACTTATCAATCGGATTAACACTCCGAGGTTGGTTTCTTTCTGTCTCTTGCAGTTTCTCTTGCCTGTACTGGTTTTCAATTTTCATTGTCGATCGTTCAATTTCATGGTGTTCTGCTTCGGTAGTAGCATGATTTTCCGGTCAACAGTATGCTATTTTTGCCTTATTTTGATCATCCTGTGCGATTTTCTCCTCCTTTCGATCTTTTAGTGTTTGGTTTGAATTAGTTTCCGATAAGCAATCACCGAGTTCCTATATCGGGGAACAGTGTTGGCTTATTTTCAGCACCGTAATCTTTCCTTTCCTTTTCTGAGAAATTTCTTTTGCCACACGTTTTCAGATACGGTCCGACTCCGATCTCTGCGTTCACACGCTTCCAATTGAGAAGAAATTTGAAATTAACCGGAAATTTCTTTTCTCTCTTCCATCTTTCTACTTTTCAAATTGTTTATAGAATATATCGAAACTCCCTCGTATAAACGTAGCACCAGTCCGCATCAAGTCTTTATTATTTTATGATTTGTTTGACTCTGTCTAGCGAGATCATTCAAACATCTTTACCGAGACTTTTCAGAGACCCTTGTGGCTCCTTATTTTGTAATTTCAAAAACTATGCATAAAAGTAATTTAATGTCGATGTAACTTGACCTGTCGCTACCTCTTTTGCAGAGTGGTGATCGACAATGCCGTTTGCAAAACTGCGACTCTGGTCAAGGTTGACAGTGCTAGAAGGCACGGAATCCTCCTGGAAGCTGTACAAGTGTTGACCGACTTGAACCTTTCAATTCAGAAAGCTTACATTTCTTCAGATGGAAGGTGGTTCATGGATGGTAAGCTTATCTGTTTTTTTCTCGCTAATGGCAATTCATGCCAATCAATAGTCATTTGTTTAATTTCTGAATGAAATTCCCACAATCTTAATTTTGCTGGCAGTTTTTCATGTGACTGATCTTGACGGGAATAAATTAATCGACGAGAGCGTTATTAGCTACCTTGAGCAGGTAAATTAACAGGCTCCATACCCCATTTAGTATTAAGCATCTAGTGAATGCTTCTGTGAACCATATTCTCTCTGTAACCTATTTGCCTTTGGGGTTCTCTTGCAGTCACTAGCTACGATTCACTGTGGCAAACCCACCGTCTCTAATGGCTTGACGGCCCTTGAGCTAACTGGCACAGACCGTGTTGGTCTTCTTTCTGAGGTATTTGCAGTGCTCGCTGAGCTTCAATGTGATGTTGTTGAGGCCAAAGTATGGACTCACAATGGCCGAATAGCTTCTTTAATATATGTCAAAGACTGTAATTCCGGTTCCCCTATCAAGGACTCCCAGAAAATAGACACCATTGTTGGACGTTTGAGAAATGTTCTAAAAGGAGATGATGACATTCTATATGCCAAGACTTCTGTCTCCATGACAGACACCCATACCGAACGAAGGCTACACCAGATGATGTTTGCTGACCGCGACTACGAAAGGAAGCCTGTCCTTCAGCATAGTGATGATTCACCTGCAGTCACCGTTGAGAATTGTGTAGAAAGGGGTTACTCAGTGGTGAATGTCCAGTGTAAAGATCGAATGAAGCTATTATTCGATGCTGTCTGCACGTTGACGGATATGGATTACGTAGTTTTTCATGGTCTCATCAATACTGAAAGGGATAGAGCATGTCTGGTAATTGTCCTCCCTACTTTCTGGGTTGGTATTCTTTCTTGATGGTTCAATCATCTTGTTAGTTGACATCATCTGTCTTTCATTTTCATCAGGAATTTTACATCAGACACACCGATGGAACTCCAATTAGTTCCGAGGCTGAAAGGCAGCGTGTCATCCAATGCTTACAAGCTTCGGTAGAGAGAAGGACATCACAGGTGCATCACTTGTTCAAGCTTGTTATTTATTAATCAAATCCCTCGTTGGATGTATATATTCTTGCAGATGTTGACATTTTAGTATGTTTTTATGTTTATTAACAGGGTGTGAGGTTGGAGTTATGCACAACCGATAGGCCATGTCTCTTAGCAGATGTTACCAGAACATTTAGAGAGAACGGTTTAAACGTTACAAGAGCAGAGGTATCCACATCAGCTGATGTCGCTCTAAACCTCTTCTACGTAACAGATGCACTTGGAGGTGCAGCCGATGCAAAAATAATCGACTCTGTGCGGGAGAAGATCGGGTTGAGTAGCTTGAAAGTGAAGGAACTGCCATCAATTTCTCAACAAAAGACAGAAGGGGGCGAGCAGGCTGCCAGTGTTGGTGGGGCCGTTTTGTTATCTCTTGGGAGCATGTTGAGAAGGAATCTCTACAACTTGGGATTGATCAGGTCATACTCGTAAGCCGAGCATCAAAAGAAAGAGAAAAAAAAAAGGAAGTAACCATTACCAATTGATGAGTTATACAAGATTTGTCCATATGTCTACTTTTTCCTCGCATATTCTTTGCTTGAAGTTTGAGCATAATTGTGTACATAAAAAAGAATCAAAATTTGAAGGAAGGAAAGAAAGGGTAGGGCCTTTGTTGATAGTACAAGTTGGGTTGGGTTGGTGGAGTTATTTGATGTATAAGAAAGGCATATTTGTGGAGGAGAGGTAAAAGAACAGGAGAAGAGAACATGTTGAAAAGGTGATGGGTAAAAGAGTACTGTTTTATCTTTATAGGTCTGCTGCTAGCTGGAAGACCAATGTTAGGTAAGAAGGTAAGAAGATATGGTTGGTTGTATACAGCTTAACACATTGTACATAACACCCCATTTCAAGTACTTTAATTGAATCAGTGGTTGACTTTTTCTCTCTCTAAAATCTGAATGCCAAGTTTGCATTTAATTATGAATCAGGCTACTCTTCTTGTCGTTCTGCAACTGAAAGTAGTCAAAGATGCCAAAGATTAAGCGAATGCGTAGGGCAAGGGAGACGGCTAATTGTCGTTACTGGCCTTTTGTTTTATTGTCTTCAAAACAGGGGAAACAACTCTAAAGAAATCATTATGAATTTGAATATCTTAATGCAAAGTTTCAAGTTTTTCATATAAACTCAACAACTCACAGAAAACAGCAGGGGCTTTGTCTCAAATTAGAACCCACTTGTATTAAAATGAAAATTTTCAGATAAGAAGAGTTGTGGTCCAGTCTGTTGGTTTGAACTTTCAGAGCATAAAAATGGGTGTCGTTTTTTGACGGAAAACGCCAAAGCTTCTGCAGGCAGAATTCCGGGCGCCGGCGGCGAGGGAATGGCCAAAGCCAAAGCCAAAGCTGGCTTTTCCAATCACATAAAATAAAACCAAAAAAGGAAAAAGAGGAGCTCGAGAAGCAGAAGCACACCAATATGCGAGTGCTGGGCCTCTTTTTTTGATCCCACGGGGCCGAGAGGGCTCTTCTTTATAGACACCTTTTTTTTTTTGTTCTATTGTCTTTTCACTGTTGTAATGTAATCTTGTGTTCTAAATATAGGGTTTATATGTGTAGGATTGGTGTTGGGGGTCCCAAAAGGCCACAGCTTTCAGCCTTTTTCTTTACCCCAATTAATTTGTTTGTTTGTTTTCGTTTCGACAGTGGTTTGGTTTTGGTCCTTTTCCACTCCCCTTTAAATTTGGTATGAGATTCTGCTGCTCGGAAAATGGGTCTGGAAACCAAGGAAAAAAATAAAAGAACATGAATGACAAAAACCTTTTCGGTATGGTCAAAGGAAATTGTGTGGATTGTACATCTTAGTATTTTCTATTTTTACAAGTTGTTCGTCCAATTTACTATTGGGTTTGGGAGTATTGATATGATTTGAAATTACCAAATTGTTCCTTTAATTTCCAGCATCAAGGAATTAAAAATTTATTTACATCAAAAAAGAGCCATTGTTGAAACTAGCTTAAGTGATTAAGAGAAGTGTCAATCTCGCCTAAGAATTGAAGTTAAAAAAGAGTTATCTATTCCAATTGTTACGCATTAAAGTGGATTACATTTTTTTAGCAATAAAGTTTTCTTTACCTCTTCCTCTCTTTTGATTTGGTCCATGTAATTTTGCTGCTCTTTTAATTTTAACAGACAATATACAAAATGTCATTATTGATATGTAGGAGGTGCACTATATCATCATGTATGATCTAATTTGTATAACTCAAATATATACATAGGTCGGTACAATTCAACCTAACATGTAAAATTAGGAAAAGAATTATGTCATACATGTGTTTTGCAAGACAACTTTTTAGCCTAGGTCTTGTCTATTCTTTCATTATATTATTTCGGTTTGAATTTAAATGGGAGAATCTTTGAGCTGTCTTTGTTTATTTGAAGCCATTTTTTATACAGAGAGAAAAAAAAAACATCTCTTTGATCCTTGTTTGAAACCTTTTTAAGGTATGAAATTTTGTGTGTTCATAAGTATTGGGGGAGTTTGAGTTCGTTGTTAGGCCAACTCAATCTGAAAAAAAATAATAAAAATAAAAGAACATTTTTAGTTTATGTAAGTGATAGTGTTCATTTATTATGTCTCTTTTACTTCACTTTTTTCCTTTTTTTTGTTAGTCTTTCAGAGTTTTATAGTATAAAAAATATATTTATTGATTTGTGTAGATGAATAAAAGACTATATTTTGGAGTCTAAAAGTGGGGATTTCAAGTTTAGAGAGTAAACAACATTGCATTAGAAATTAAAAATCACTCCCTTCAATACTTGCAAAATTATATGATGCTTGAGCAAAAAAAAAAATCTTACTTGTATTAAAATTTTCATTATTTTAACAATATTGTTTCTAATAAAAAAATTGCATTAAATTTTTTTWAAAAAAAAACTTACTTTTGCTAAAATGGCCTTGGAACCTCATGGGAATCTTTACTTTTGGGCTTAGGGCTAATAAGGCCACTGCATGTTTTCCCATCTTCAAATTTAATGGGCTTTATCTTCAAATGTATAATTGCTTACTTTTCTAAAAATAAAACCCTTTACAAATAATGTTTTAATAATTATTACATCTAATTTGATAAATATTAAATCATACAAATGAAAACTTTAACAGAGTTTCTTTTAACGTCAAAATCATAAAAAAATAGTTAAATCAATGCAATGTCTTAGTAGTAATAAGTTATTTCGTAAACTTTTTATTATTCATATCAATGATTGGTAATTAAATAATAGTAAAAAGAAAAATAGAATAAAATTTTATATTTGTTCATTTCTTACTCGATGTAGAACTAATTGGGTCTTAATTCAATAATAGCGGAATGGGCTTAAATTTAAAAGCCCATAACCTCACCGAAGGCCCAAGACATCACTGCAAGTGACAATGACTACAAATAAATAACAAAAAAAAAAGAAATAAAATAACTATCAATTTGTGTTAATTACTCGACAAGATATTGCTATTATATAACCTTGAAATAGACCATCAATCGCCACTTACTTAAAAATAAATTAATTAACTAATCTTTTCAAGTAATTATTTTCTTTATCATAAAGAAAGTTTTTTCCACTGATTAATAGAAGTTATTAATTAATTAATTAATTAATTAATTAATTATTAACCTTATTTATTTTATTAATAATTAGGTGGTTTGAAATAAAATAAAATAAAATAAATTTTGATTTATTATTTTTCCTATTAACTTTTTTTTTACAATGTTAATAGAATTTCTATTTGTTTGTTCTTTTACTCATATATTAATGGTAAAGTTTGTAAAATTATAAAATGACATAAAATTTTGATATTTATTTTCTAGAAATTAATTTCAAGTGAAACTAAAAGATTTTTTTTGGATAAAAAAAAAAGAATGAATGATTACCAATATATTATGAAGAAGTGGTTATTAGACGTATTTTTATTTCTCTCTTCAAAAAATAAAAAATAGAAAATAGAAAACTATGACCGGGGAACACGAAAGAGAATATAATAAGATAACATAATATAATTGATAATATTATATAAATATTAATAAAATAACTCAGTATTGTTCTTATCTAAACCCACTTTAATTAAAATTTCTCATCTTTTAGTAATATTATTTTATTGGGGGATGGGAGATTTTACTTTTAACTTTATCTTTTGAACACAACTTGGAAATAGATACCTTTCATTCATTAGGAATATTAAACTCATTTATAAGAAAAAAAACATATATCTTTTAATTTTATATACTTATATATACTTGGTCAATGGTTGTGGCTATATAATAAAATAATTTTATTATACACTTAAAATTGGGTTTCTCTAATCTCTAAACAAATTTAAATTAATAATTTTAGCATGATTAAAATAGTTATTAATTTAATCTTGTGAAATGAATATTGGTAACCTTCCACTCTTGGGGTTTGGGTGGCAACAAGTGGTCGTCCATTTATAATTTAAAATGAATGAGTTATTAGTGATTATAATCTTTAATTAGTAGTGCTTGCAAAACGTAGCAAAAATAATAATAATAATAAATAAGAATTTTCAAAAGTAAAAATCACTTTCTAATTTTGTAACAATAGCATCAACTTGTTTAATATACTCTCGAGGAACACACCCTAAATGATATTTGAAATATATATTTGATATATTAATAAACACATGATTTGATATTCGATTGTTGTGTTTGTAAATATTCATTTAGAGAATATGTACATCATCTTAACAGGTTGAGCGCAATCTCTTGTAGTTTCCAAATTATTTTATTTAAATATACTTTAATTGAATTTTTTCTTATAAAATAAGAAGACGAATAATAATATGTAAAATAATAACTAAAACTTGAAAACATAAATATTATAATGAGATGAATTTTAGTTTTCTAGATTTTATTTGTGCTGTTATTGATTGTTTCAGAGAAAAAAAAGATTATGCTATTAATAATTTAATATTCATAATTATAAAAAAAGGTTTTTGTATTTACAATCGTTCTAAATTTAATTTTCAGTTATCGTTATTAATAAAGTAATTTTAATGTAAGCACATGAGATTTAAGTTAAGATTGAATATCTATTAAATTAAAAAAAAATTAAAAGTTTAAAAAAGTTGTAATATGTATAAATAGAAGTCAGTCTATTTCCAAATTCCAATTTAAAAAAGAAAAGGAGAAAAGAGTTCTATTTTTAAAAATTATTCTATTGCTTTACAGTCCCTTGTTAGAATAAGAAAAGTTGAAGCGCACTTCAAGTTAATATTAAAAAAAGTTGGGGTCATAAATGCAATTTCTAAAACATTCAGTAATTATTATTAGGAAGCCTCTAGGAAATGGACAAAACTCATAATAAAATTGTATTTTTAAAGAAAACATTATATGCTGCCCTCCATCACGAAGTATGGTTTGAATATAAAATTAGTTAAATTTAGTGAAATTCTAAGTTACAAACTGCTAAACAAGGCTGATCCAAAATATGTCAGGATTTAAATTCGTATAAAGATAATTTCAATGCATTGATAATAATATCAATTTATATCTTTTGATATTAATTTATTTTATAGTTCTATATAAATATATAAAAAAAAAGAGAATAAACTGTTTATAATATATTATACCGCGAAGGATCTTTTAAAGTCAGTATAATTTTATTGGATGGAATTAAGATTTAAACTTATTTCAACGAATCAATTTGTTAATTGACTAAAAAATAATTAACCTGTTTTACATATTAATTAAATTATACGATGAAATCAAGAAACGTATACAAAGATATTCCATGTCAAAAATGATGAAAAAAACAAAAATCTATAAACTCATAATTGAATAAGGAAAATATTAAGAAAAATTGTGTATTTTCTTCTGGGTGAAATAAAAATTAACCTATTTAATTAGAGCTAAAACTATAGCTTTTCTTTTTCGAATTTCAAAAATCAAATTATTTACCAAATAAATTGTTTTATATGTTATTTTCAACTTAATGTTTAATTAATAATACTCTGTTGAAGGAGTCGATATAAATTAAAAGGATTGATTAATCAAGTATTAACTTTTTTAACTTGAGCATAATTCAGCCATAATTTACCTATGATCCTTCCCTCTAGGTCGGAAGTTCAATCCCCATAACTCCAAATTGTTGTACTAAAAAAAGCTTTTACTACTAAGTTAGAAGTTGTATGATAGTCATTTTTCATTTTAATGTTTGAAAAATCATAAGAGGGAAGAGAGAATGATGTTTTAACGTAGTTCAATATTACAACTTTATGTCCATAAGAATATAAGAATATTTATGGGAAATAGTATTAATAAACCCTAAAAAAAACATAGCTTTTCATCTATTATAATTTCTTAATATTTTTTTTTCTAATGTAATCTTAATCTCTTGAAAATTCTCAATTAGACCCTCCCAAAAAGAAATCGGTTAAAATTTATTAATAAAAAGTTCGTGTCTCATTAAATTACTACTTTATTAATAAATTTAGATATGAGGACATGTCACTTGAAAAAAATATTCTTTTTCAATAGGTGGTTGAAGGATCTAATATGTTATACTTGGAAGGTAAGTAACATGTTTATGTGATCAAATATGCTAATTCAATCTAACTTTTTTTAGACAAATTTATTTACGAATGACCTAATTGAGAATTTTTTTTAAACATTAAGAGAAAATTTGAGAATTTCAAAAGATTACAGAAGAAATTGAGAATTAGCAAAAGGGTTAGAAATTATTGTGTATATTTTGCCTATATTTGAAAGGCCTCGTCCTATGAATGAAGTTAATTAATATTCACTTATTGCTCAACGCTTAGGGAACTCCCATGCAAAAACTTCTTCTAGTACTATGATGCATAATAATATGGAAGAAATTTTGTACTATATTTCTTCAATTGTTTATCTTATCAGTAGCATTTAGTGTGAAAACTCGTATATGAAATAAATCAATATTTCATTGTTTATCTCAACGACTTGAGAAAAGATGTATTTTGTACTACATTTGTTCATTGTTTATCGTAACGACTTCAGAAAGGGAGGCTAAAGAAATTCTCTCAAACTCATTTTTTTTTAATAATAAAGGTTTGGTGAATGATAACTTATTTAATTTCAGGAACATAATATTATTTGTGGCTAGCTAGGTGCATGAGAAAATGAAAAATGTTGACAACTTTCCTTTAAATTTTTTTAGTTCAACAAAATATAAGAGGGAGGCATTTAATCTACACTTTTTACGGTTGAATATATATCTTTAATTACTCAACTATACTTTATTTGGCTAGTATTATTACTATAAGATTTAGCTCTTCACCAACTGCTTAGCTTTCAAAGTCAAATTAAAAAGATGTATTTTTTTAGTACTAAAAAATGTATTAAGACACTTTAAAAAACTTACACAATGGATCATCAAATATTTCCCCAAGATTATTCCAGGTCAAATATGCTTAACTTTAAACTTTTTGTGATTGACCTATTGAAGAGAACGGTGCATCTTATTGGTATAGACTGTTTATATCAAGTTTTTAAAGTATTTCTTAACCATGCTCCATTGATCTATCTTAGGATATCTCTCTCATCCGAATGTGGTGTGGATTCATTTATGTACCCTCCTTATCACAATTTAAAAAATATGATGATATAAATAATATCAACCCATTCAGGATTAAGATGAGTTATAATATTTTTTTTTTATTGAATTGAATTCAATTACATTTAAAACTTTATTAGATTTGGTTTTGGATAATGAATTCATCTCAAATTAATTTGAGTAAGTCAACTTGAATTTATTATTAAATAGAAAAGAGTTGTTTGTCGCGAGATATCATTTACCTTCCTAAGATGAAGGTTCTAACCTAGCTCTATCGTTACTAAAAATTAAAAATGATCTCTTTTATATGAAAAAAAACATATTATTTAAACATAATTATTATTTTTGGAAAAGATAACCATATACTTCTCGAAGAAGTTTTATATTTTATGGTTTATGATCACATTGTTAAGTTATCGGATATTACTATGGGATGACCAATAACATCTAAATGATTTCATGGATTAACAACATAATGTTATATCCAATCACACTACTAATGAGCTTAATGTCGAGTACCCGTAAGATGAATATCTAAGTAAGCTGGTATGATATTTTCCAACTAAAATATGCCACAATAGCTCAATTGTCGTCTACGTGGGACACCTAACCAAGACATTATTTGAGTGACCATATAAATCATTTAAAAAAATGAACATAGGGCCAAAGTAATCTATGGGCAAAATTTTGGGGACTTTTTCTTATGATTATCATTTTATTTTAGTATTATCATGGTGAAAAAAATTCAAAGTAGAAAAAAGTGAACGGGAATAATTATCTTACATTACGACGTGTCTTCTTGTATTTAATTTGCTGATAAAGTCATCAAAATTATATTTCCTCGTTAATTCATCCATTCTAAAAAGTATGAAAAACCTCCTTTCATTTAAATTCTCAATTAATTAAAAGTATGGAAATTATCTTATTCTTTCAATGAGGTCTTTATTTTTTTAATCATTCTATATTATTTTCATTTTCAAGCAACTTTCCTTGACAATTCAATAACTGATTAATGTTTAGGAATATTATTATGTAAAAAGAAGTTATATTGTTCTTTCCCTTCATAATAATAACAATTCATGGCTGTATTAATCTTAAAGAAAGAGGGAGAATTCTTTATATATATATATATATATATATATATAATAAAAAACAATAAATTTTGAAATTCAAAATTTTAAAAAGAAGTGTCAACAAAGAGGCCCTAAGATTCCTTTTTTCCTTGAACAACCATTTCGTGTTAGGTCGGCCAAAAAATAATATTTCTGTACAATTACTTTATTTATTTCTTTTTGAGAAATTTACCACTATTTTAAAGTAATTATTAATTAAAAGTAAGAATTATATAATAAATGCTAAATATTGCAATTTGTCCCTGATCTTTTACCTAATTCTCAATTTAATATTTTAAAATTCTCAATGCAACTTTAATGTATTTACAATTTGTTAAAATTTGTTAATATTTCATTAAATTATTATTTTATGAATATTGGAACCTGTACACATATTACTAGAAAGAAATAGATTTTATTGATGGATGAGTTTGATATTTATATGTCAATTAAGTATATAAGTGACATGTCTGCCGTCTAAATAACATAAAACAATAATTAAATAATATTAATTTTTTAATTATAAAAAAACATTAATTTTGTTAACAGTTTTTATTTACCAAAAGGACCTACTTGCGAATTTTGAAAATATTAAAAAAATAATTTTAAAAGGAGGTGAAAATGATAATTATCTAAAATTAGGAACTATTTTCCATATGTATCCACCAACTTGGACCTAGCTCGGTTAAATCATGTCACCAATTAAAAGAGTCATGTGTTCGAATTTTCAACCTAAATATTGTATTAAAGAAAAAACTTTTCATATTTACTCTATAATAAATAAATGACAAATTAATAATAATAAGAAGATTAGGAGCATCATAATTAATGTAAATATTTTACACTTCTCTGCATAGTTTTGATGAGAAAGAAACTTTTTTGTGACACCATGTAGCAAGAAAAAGTCTTGTTTCAAATAATTATTTTTCCAATAATTTGAAATATAAACTTTGGAAAAATCAAAATTAAAAGAAACTTTTTTTTGCCACCCATTAAAAATTAAAACAAACTTACTTTTAATAATATTACAAACAAAAAACTTTGAACATGAAATATCTCTTAACATTCATACTTTTTTCTGTTATTATACTTTAAAATAATTTTCTTTCAAAAAAAAAATTTGATCTTTATATATAATAATAATAATGATAAAAATAAAATATTTAAAAGTAAAAAAAGAAAAAGGACATAAATTAAATAAGGAAGTAGAGGCTGAAGCTGGGGTTCTCTTTTTCATCTTTCCAGGAGAATTCCTTCAGCCTCTGGCAACCTCATATTTACTTTTCCCTTTACCAAAACAATATATTATTATAATAATTCCTTACAAAGAAATAAAGAATAAAAACGTAAATAATTATAATATTTAAAAATTAAAATGATAATTATTATGCATTGGTTCCCTTGAAAAAGTAGTCCCTGTTATTATTAATATTATTCTTTCAAATTGCCACTTTTTCAGAAACAAAATAATAGTTATTATTATTAAAAAAAAAATCACCCACCCACTTTTGAAAAATCAAATATATTTTTATATTATTATTTCTCTGCCGGATTCCCAACCATACTCGATTACCATTTTTTTAAACAAATAAAAAATTAAATCCCTAAGAAAATTGCTTTCTTTATGGCCATAATTCAATATTCTTTTTAATTAATTAATTAATATTTTGAATCTAAATTTGGACAGTCTTTGGTAAAGTTAAGTTAGGCACCCAATTATCTGAACTGCAGAAACAAGGTTTCATTATCTGAGCATTTTCCCATTCAAATCAAAAGCTGAGTCTTTTTTTTTTCCTTTTTTTTTTGGCTCCTTATCTTTCATAATCTTCCCATATTTTTCAATTTTCAGAAAAAAAAAATGTTATTTTTCTTAAAATAGATCAGCATGCTTTAGGCCTTGTGTTGAGCTTAACTGTTTCTTTTTAGGAAAACTCTTCCAAATAAACAGTGTTTTAAAGTTTTGCAGGAAATATAATCTCACTGTAAACCCCTTGCTTATAATTTCCATACTATTTTTCAATTTTCCCACACTTTTGAAGCTTGAAAAAAAAAAAAAGAAAAAAAATCCCAATTTGTTTGAGCCTGTAATCAATTTCATATTTCTGGGTTTTTGATGCTGAAATTGCAAGTTCGATTAATTTGAAGAGTTTTCTTCTTCTTTTCTCATGAGAGATTGAAAATTAGAGAAAAGGAAAATGAGTTTTGATAAATAGGCGGAGGAAATATTTGTGGGTGTTTTTTTTCTTTTTAAGTATGGAGGGAAGGGAAGGTGGTGGTGGTGCAAGTAGTGGGGTTACTGTGGTGGGATCAGATGCTCCGTCGGAGTATCAAATAGCTCCGAGGACTGAAAACCCAACACCGCAGACCGGCGGATCAGCGCCGCCGCCGCCGCCGCCGCCGTCGTCGGCGACTCAAGCAGCTTCGACACCGTCGGCGTCGGCTCAGGCGGGTGGGCAACCTCCTCCGCTCGCGGCGGCCTCCTCAGTTCCGGGAAAGAAGAAAAGAGGGAGGCCAAGAAAGTATGGACCCGACGGCTCTGTCACTATGGCGCTGTCTCCGAAGCCGATATCGTCTTCGGTGCCGCCGCCGGTGATCGACTTCTCAACGGAGAAGCGGGGGAAGGTACGACCGGCGAGCGCAGTGAGCAAAACCAAGTTCGAGTTGGAAAATTTAGGTAATGGGAAATTACTGATTTCATCAAAATCTGCCTAAACTTGGAGTGGCTTTTCCTTTTCTGTAACTTAGTTTTTGGATAGAGCTTTGTTTAGGTTCTTTTGATGTTCATAGTGAGCCCTGCTTTCGTTGGAATAACTCGGTCGTGTTGGGACCTGGGTTTTGGAAGAGGAGCGTTTGGATTTGAGATTACTGACTGATTCTGAGTGAGTTCTTTTTCTTGCTGGGTGGATGTGGGTCCTTTGATTGGGATTCCTTGATATTAAGTTCTCGAAGCATATAGTTGTTCTGATTCTGAAAAGATCAAGAGCTTTCTAGGTTGGTCTCAGAATGTTGGAATCTTCTTGTTTTTTTGTTCTTGTTTGAACTCTCTCTCTCTCTCTCTCTCTCTCTGTCTCAGTTTGGCTACTTTCTGATTCTCAACCTGATAATTGATTCACTAAAGGGAGCCTCCATTTTTTTTTGGGTCGGATGTTGGGTTCTGATTTGATTTTTATTTCTGAGCAGTTAATCTGATAGACTCCATGATCTTTCGTTGTCTTCAAATGTTTCTGCACGGACCTAATTAAGGATTATACTGTTTTTCCATTGGATTCCTCTGCTCAGCTACAGTGTAATGCTTCCTTAGGAGAAGAAATGGGTAGAAATCTCCAAATCTATCACTTAACATGGAAGTTTAGAATTCTAAAATCACTTTGAAAGATTCATTATGCTGCTAAATTCCATAACATTCAATATAGTTTGTTGTCATGTTATGATCTTGTAACTAAATTTGTCCTTCTCAGGTGACTGGGTTCCATGTTCTGTTGGTGCAAATTTTACACCTCATATCATCACTGTCAATACGGGCGAGGTAAAATGTTAGAAAACTTATCTTCAAATAAACTGGGTTAAAACCTGCATAAGAGAACTTTTTTTAATCCTTTTTTGGGTTAAAACTTACATCCTGGTTAGTCAATAAAGAGACTAACATTCTTTTTTTTTTCACTTCTATTCCATTTCTGGGGTTGATTATTTTAGTAGGAAGAGAGTGAATGTTCACATCCGTCTGTTGAACTTTGCTTATATTATCTTTTGATGAAGTGAGAGAAAGAGCTATGAGTATTGTTATGTGTTGGAAAGAAAAAGGAAAGGAAATGAACAGTTACAAATTACCATTTACACATCATCCCTCCTTTTTATTATTTTAATAAACTATTTGACTAAGTTTTCCTTTCACTTAGGATGTCACGATGAAGATAATATCCTTTTCGCAACAAGGGCCTCGAGCTATATGCATTTTGTCCGCAAACGGTGTGATCTCGAGTGTTACTCTCCGCCAGCCTGACTCTTCTGGAGGAACTCTAACATATGAGGTGATGCATTTATTTTGGCCTCATCTAAGGGTATTACTGATGAATGTCTAACTCTAATTGATTGGTAGTTGAAATTTCCGATGATTTCTCCTGCCTCTCGATTCTTGTTAGCATGCTTTTAGGATTCAATTCATAGTCAAGCTTTCCAGTTTATTCCTGTTGTACAATATTTTGTTTGTTGGAGGACGGTGGTTGCTCTTCATTTCTCTAAATTCTGATGTATATCAACCTTCCAAATAGGTTCCGCACCAGAGTATTGAAATTAAAATCTGAACATCTACCGACACAATCACATATATCTACTGACATTTATAAGAAGATGTTCTAAAAATAGTACTGTACATATTAATTATGGTTTTTAAATTCTAAAGTTGAAGATTATGCAGGCTTAGATTTAAATTTACTGAGCATTTATTGTCTACTTTTCTGTTAGATCAACCTTTCTAATTCTAAACGTTACCTTCCTAACATTGCATTTCGAAGTCGACATGTATCCTACTGTTCCTGTCTTGCTCGCTGGGTAAATGCATCCTCTCTCTGAACTGCCCACGAACCGCAGTTAGATGTTCTTTATTATTCATCCACCTCTCAACTCCCGTAGTTAATTTGACTTGCTTTGAATTATTATTCTTATGCCTCACAGAGAAGTTACACTTTCCATTTCATGTACATGTATTGTAGCTCGTGTGGATCCCCTGAATTCTTTTCCAATATTTGTATTGTTGCTCTTTTCTATGAATATGTTTGGGACATTCATCTCAGGCAATGTAATTACACTAAAAGTATCGAATTGTGTTTTGGAGTCTGCTTCGATCAGAATTCACTGCATACCTGAATGATTTTTCACACTTTATTATTCAAACTTTGTCACAGTTAAAGTTGGTCAAAAGAGGTTAAACTGATTGTAAACTGATGGTGTCACTGTCAAATAATGGAAAATAAAGTCATTCATTTATACTTAGTATGCTGCGAGAAACCGATAGAAGATATTCATTAGAGACCAGGTGATCAAAATGAGCAGCTTGTTTCTAGCTGTTCTTGAATCAGTCCAGCATTACATAACAATTATGTATAGTTGCTCCTATTCTGTACAGCATCAGTTTGTTCTGAAAATTTCAAAATTCCACTTCTTTGCTAACCGAGAACCCTCTCTGCCATCGATTCATTAACTACGTATTTTGCTAATTCCGCTTGTGAACTTTTCTAAAGAAGAGAAACTAGAGGATTTAGGATGCCGATTCTTCATCCATAGGCAAAATCTCTCATATGATCCTTTTTTTTTTCTTTTTGGCAGGGTCGTTTTGAAATATTGTCATTGTCTGGCTCATTCATGCCTAATGACAATGGAGGAACTAGAAGTAGATCTGGTGGAATGAGTGTTTCCTTAGCAAGTCCAGACGGGCGTGTCGTTGGTGGTGGAGTAGCAGGTCTATTAGTAGCTGCAAGTCCTGTTCAGGTATGGCTTCTCTGTTTCTTTTCCAGGATCAGCGATTCATTACCACTATGTTCTATTATCTCAGTGAAATTTCTTTCCAAATCTGAGCTATGGGAACGTTCTTGTCACTGTCTTTGCAAAAATAGGTCGTAGTAGGGAGTTTTCTTTCTGGAAACCAACACGAGCAGAAAACTAAAAAGACAAAACAAGATACCATTTCAGCGGCCCCCCCAACTGCTGCTATTCCGATATCTTGCGTCGATCCCAAGTCCAACCTCTCGCCTTCCAGTTCGTTTCGTGGCGATAACTGGTCGTTGCTCCCAAACGATTCGAGGAATAAGCCAACCGATATCAATGTATCTCTACCCAGTGCATGATCTTAGCTCCATACTATTAATTGTGGAAGTTCCCTTCTCCCATTTGCCATCATCAAACTTGTAGCTGGTGGATTTCACATCTTGTTTAATGGTCTCTGTAACTTACCAATGTACTTCCAATGTAGCCTCTTGATCCCTCTCAGGTTAGTCTTTCACTTGGTAGAGTAGCTATAGGCTGCCCGACGCAATGGCGTCGAGTAGAATAGTTTGATGTATAACGTGAAGACTTTCGCTTTGTTTCATATCAATGGATTGTGATTTTATGCTTATTTTCTCAACATCGGTTAGCTCGTCTTCCTCAAATCTGTCTCTCTTGCTCGTATTCGGGATGCGTTGCATTTGGTCTATTGAATCCTTTCTTTAAATTGAAAACTCCTTTATGCTCTAGGGAGATGAACTATAAATAAACAAAAATCCAAAATCCATAAGCTATTAAGGATCACTTAGAAATTGATTCCCAAATAATGGCAAAAATTGAAGTCAACTCCCATCAACATCAAAAAATATATAAATCATTAGATCAGTGCAATTACGTAATTTGATTAAACTAATCACATTAATATATAAAGCTTGCTTAGGCAATCAAGGAAGTGAAATGAATCATGCATGTACAGCAGCAGGAGGGAAAAAAAAAAAAAAAGCTTTGAATTTGACTTGCTAGATTTTGTTGTTGTTGCCTCTGATATCATTGATAGTGACTCAAAAAGCTCCCTATTAATTCTCCTATTGCTTGGAATATGATAGAAATTGTTGCATTACCATTATTGTCACACTAAATTATTCCAACTCTATGAAACGTTTGATCAATTCTTGATCTATTTTATATAACTTAGCAAAGTTTGGAAAAGTTCTCGTTAAAGCTAAATATATTATTTGGATATTTATTTGGTGTCTAAATTATGTACGATTTATCTTAAAAGTCTCAATTCTACCCCATGTTTCAAAATTTTTCGCATAAATCTCTATTCAAAATGTCATTTAAATTGAATAATGAAATGATTATAATATATTTAATTATTATTGTTTTGTAGGAGCTTAACTTATTTAGGTAGGTTAGTTCATCTAAATTATATTTGGTCATTGTCAGCCACATTAACCTCGTTAAAGAATGATATGAGGTTCGACAGAATTAACTAATTACTTACGAAATAAAAAATATGGTGCGAGTAGAGAAAGGAGGTTCTTCTATAGTACTAGAATTTTTTATGCATTTTCATTTCACAATCGAAATAAACTTTGATAAACTTACAAATTATCTAAGTTTGAGAGCATATCTCATGACTTTTTATTCAAACTATAAATATATCCTATTGTCTATTTTGTTACTAACTTTTAAAAAGTTACTTTATTTAATTTTGTCATTAAAAAGAACATTTGTTTTAGAACATTAACAACATTGATACATGAATTGAATATTGTTATGATATATCATTGGTCTTTCTAATTATTTTCCTCATTACAATAATTAAATTTATCTAATTAACCAAGAACTCTAAAAAATGTTTTAAAATAAAACATAAAACTTAAAACTACAACAGACTCCAAGAAGGAAAATTGTGATTAAAATGCAATGAACTTGCACTCACAAGTCAACTTCAAGAAGATGACAAGCATACGTGTCATCTATAGTGATTGAAAAGAAAAAAATAATAATAAAATATATATATATAATTAAAAAAGTATATGTCTTTAAAAAGAAAAACATAACAATTGTTGATTGATGGTTGAGGCGGACGGAAAAAAATTGATGCAAAATAAGTTTGAAAAATTACAAAATCTGCCACAATTATGAGTTCTAAAAAAACCTATCAAATTATTACATTCCAAATAATGCTAATAATAGTAATAGTAATAATAAAAGATAAAGTTCAAATAATAAAAAAAGAACCCAATAATTAGCAAAATACAACCAATGGAAATATTTCTATCAAATCAAAGATAAAAAAAATTAGACATCTTACTCCATGACGTAAATTTAATATATATTTTTATCTCAACTTCTTATTTACTTCAAATATAGCATGTTTAATTTTTTTTCCATGAATTATGTTTTTTTAAAATAATTTAAAATTTCTTGCTATAATTAAAAATACATATTTTATTTATTTCCCTCGTGATTGGCAGGTTATAGCATTTTTTTAGTTCAACATTGGATGCAAGTTATGGCAATTGGCAATACATACTATGAATAATAAACAAATAATTGTTATTAGAAAGCTATATAAATGCATAGAAGGGGGAAAAATAAGGGAAAAAAAAAAGCCATTTCCAAATGACATAATACAAATATATACTTCTAAAAGTAGAACGTCTGAAATTTTATGATAAATAGCATCATCCAAACTATCTCAATATAAAATAATATTATATAAATTTATGCAGTGAAATTTCTTTAAAAAAAAAATTCCATTGAATTTCCCGTCCTCGTATTTCTCTCCAGAATCCTCTACCGTAGGCCTTGAAAAACCCTTCATATTCTCTCATAGTCAAGAACTTCAAATACAACAATCACTCCATGCCCACATACATTCTAAATTCAATCCAGCCATTTTAATGTGGTTAAAGATACCTTGAAAAAATAAACAATAATAAAGATCATATTTCCAAATAGCTTGCATTGAAATACAATTAATCAAGACAAGATAGTAAATTAGTTTATGTAAGCCTAAAAACAAACATGTGCCTACTTTCAATGTGAAGTGAACAATTGATCTTCACTCTAACCAAGCCCTGTTCCAGCATCCTTACGGGGTGCATCGGCCTTAATCCGTGGTGGCCTAACTATACGGTCAATAAGCCCATAATCAAGGGCTTCCTGAGCATTAAAGCGCTTCATTCGACTCAAGTCCTTGTTAATCTGCATTTAAGGTCTCTTAAGTTAAGGTTGCACTCCTCAGAAACTTTTCAAGTTTATTATGGGGTAAGATTCAAAATTGGCATCAGTGAATCATGAACGTACTAATTAGCATCACCGGTAAACTCAGCGAACTGACCTTTTCAACAGGCTGGCCTGTTTTCTTAGAAAGCTCATCAAAAAGATAATCCCTGATTCTCAAGAGCTCGTTTGCTTCATTTTGAATATCGTCAGCCTGTCGGAAGGATTTTAAAACCAAAATGTAACAGAGGACAAAGCTTTGGGACTTAAAAGGGTATATATGATCAATTTGCATGACATGATGCAACAAATTAATGATACCTGTACCAAAAAAAATAATAAAATAATAAAAATACAAATTAATGATACCTGACCACGAGCAGCTCCAGCTGGGGATTGCAAAGCAATTCGTGATAGAGGCATCGCAAAGCGGTTACCCTTAACAAGGAAAGGGGTCGTTAGATTTAAAAGAGAGAGGAAAAAGTAGTTTCAACCAAATAGATAGAAGAAGGCCAGTGAGCAAGGACAAGGATGAAACATTCGTGCATTAGGGAAAAGTTGGTAAAAGTAAAGTAATGAGCATTTTTCCAGTTTATTGGCAAATAAAGGGTTGAAATTTATTTATCAAGTCGCACTGAGATTTGGTCTGATATATCCAAAATCCAAAATAATTTAAGTGGCAGAAGAAATAAGAGGCGTGGTATAGGGGCCATGCCATGTTTACCACGCTGAAGAACTCCCTACAACTTCCAAAGATATATTTTTCAAGCAACACCCACTGCCTTATTTATGGTACTAATAAAATCTGTGTTTACCTTTTCTCCAGCTGCAAGTAGAAAGGCTGCAAGATTATAGGCATAGCCCACACAATGGGTTGCTACAGGGCTCTTCAAGCTCTGCATTGTGTCGTAGATGGCCATACTTGGAGTTAGCTGCAAAGATGTTTGGTTTCATCAGAAAAATAATGCTAAACAAACCATTAGAATATTCCTGAGAAGAAAGGAAAATATAATAGATAATCATGATGGACTTGATCCCCCCCACAAAAAAAAAAAAAAAAAGAACTCACATCTCCACCAGGGCCATTTATGTACATATAGAGTTTCTTGGACGTCTCAATGCTGTCAAGATATAGCATTGTGGCCAAAATTTGATTGCTAAACTCTTCATCGATGTTTTGCCCAATGAAGATAACCCGTTCTCGATACTAAACACAAGAAGAATGCAGAGATAATGGGAAAAATCAGCAAAATATCTAAAAGAAGAGTTGATAGTTATATTTATCACTTATAGCAGACAGCAGTTTACTTTGATATAATTGAACAGGGATAAAGGAAGTGACAAAATGAGAAAACCTGCAGCATTGTCCTATTATGAAGAGCATTACACCTATTTTTAATAGTAAATTTTGATGTGATTTAATTGTAGCCATTGGTATTCATGTGTCATGGTTTGGGAATCTCATAATGGCAAAATATAATTTTTCTCAGACTGAGCAATTAAATATCACATGACATTAGACCGTATTGCACAAAAGGTATATAATTAGATCTATAACTTACTAGGGCATTCCACAAATCAACCCATTGCCAAGTTCCCTCACCAGGAGTTCTGTAAGGCACCCTTGGTGTCCCTATAGGCATCATCTGAAATTGTGCACGAGCTGCCTTCTTGTTATGTGTCCTGCATTTAAAGTAATGAATTAGAAGAAATGCATCGGCTGCAAGACGAATATATATAACGTAGCATGCAACTGGAATACCTTCTCCTCTTATTTATTTTTAACTTCTATTAGATTGGATAAACAAAAATTGAGTGCATGTCTAATTGAAAGAAAAGATGAACTTTTTTATAGAGATTGACGTGGGAAAAATGCCACGAAAATATTTGTTATCCTAGCAGTTGTCATTTGATAGAGGAAGCACCAACCGGTAGAATCCGCTTAAACCTCAGAATAAAAAAATTTCACCTTTCAATCACCAAAAGAGGTTAAACAGCAAAGAAATGAAATAACTAAATGTTCGCGGTAATTGCATGGTATATGACCAGGTTCGTGTAAATTTGCATACACGTCCTCCCAGCACTCAATTTCAGTAACTAAAGGGAAAAAAAAAACATTCAAAAGGGCCAAGAAAAATAGTGTAAATCCTACTCGAGTAGAACAGTCGTAATATTTCAACAGTAATTTCTGCACTCTACACTATAAAATGGGATTTTACCAAGTCAATCTCTCCTGAATCCAAGCAGTGATATCGTATGATGTCAAAAGAGTGAAGGGATAATATTTCATTAAAAAAAAAAAAAAACAAATGAACCATGATATGTAATTAGTCGTCATATAGCGTCCAAGGAGTTAGAGTCACGAGTAATAGATCAAGTCCTTTCAACTACAACGGTATACTTCTGCTCCTTCATCCTTGAAAACGCATAGCATGTTAGGAAAGTCCAATGTTTTCAATTGATTATCACTAGGATTTAACAAGATATTTACTTTTAGAGCAAATACTTCCAACACAGCAAAGAAATGAACCTGGGATGCAGGCTTAGCTAGAGCTACAGTTACCTGGAGTGTAGACTTTTATGAACTTTTCCATAGAATTCTACAGTAAGATTAGGTTTTGCTCCTCCAAACGGACCTTGAAATTTGGAAAAACAAACAGAAGCGATAAATGATTAAGGAGCGGACAGAGAGACGACATCATGAAAAGGAAGGGAAGAATGATGGCAGGCAGAGGCTCACAAGCAGATTGAAGCTTTAGTCCGGAGTAAAGCTTCGTTGCAAAGCTTGCAAAATTAAAAACCGAAACAAAATCAGGTCAGCGTCGCGAATAGCATCAATCGTAACTGTTAATCGGAAGAGCGAGGGAGAACCTGAGAGGAGGCTGAGAAACTTTAATTTGAGGTTGAAGACACGGAGAAGAAGAGACTGCCATTATCAGCCGATAACAGAACACGAACACCCAACACGAGAGAGCGAGGCCCTCTTGGGTCTGATTCCGAAGAAGATGACACAGCGCCTCGCCTCGCAGGTGGAGACAGCTTTCCGATTGGGCCTTTTGGGCTGGAGCCCGATTGATGTTTGTGGGCTCCAATCAGGCCCATATCCCAACGCCTTGCATATCAAAAATTAGCTACGGTCATTTCACACGTGTCCCTCTTTTTAATTTACCCTAGCTCAACAATCCGTCGTAGTCGCAAAAATTTCCTTTGTATGGTGAAGTTAAAAGAACAATTTTGATTTAAAATATCTCTCCTTTTTTTATTTTAGATTAGTCGAGGAGCGAGCTGGCCTAAACCCTCCCAAATATCAAAAATATTTCGCTTTGAATTTAAACCTACCACATTTATGTTAAAATATTTCAAATAATCTAATAGTAATTGTTGTTTTCAACATTTTTCCATTTAAGTAAAAAAAAAAAATTCCTGGTTTTGTAGGTATGTCTTGGCATTATGGGTAAGATGGTAATAACAAAAACTAAATAAAAGTAAAATCTTAAAAACTAAGGAGATTAAATTAATAATTTAACCTGAACTATTTTAGGTAAAATCAATTTTGAAACATAGAATAAAAATGACATTTTTATTAACAATTCAAGCGAGTACTCACAAAAGGACCTCTTTATATAAAATTTGCATCCAAGTTATTAACTTGTTGGTTTGATTATAAATCAAAAACGATACATCGGTGCCAATATGGGATATGTCAAGCATCTACTCCTCCCTTTCTTCTCTTGAGATTTGAATATTCAAATTCCCTCATATTTATTATACTGACAAAAAAATAAATAAATAAAAGGTCAATACATTAGTTTTCACCATTGGCATTGATATAACCGTACAAGTATTCTTGCAGCTTTCCTATAAAATAAAAATATAGACTCTAATTCTTAGAACAACAACATCCTTCTTAAATAATAAACATAAAATTACTTTCGCTAAGTCAAAGTACAGTCCATAAATAGTGAACTTTTTTCACTGAATCGTGTATAAAAAGCTTTCTATATAAACATGACAAATATCACATGAACATTATAAAAGGCAGCAGAAAATGGGGGCAGCATGGTGGCAATCAAAGATGAAACCTTTAGACCTTACTCACAGAGCAATTATTTGTCCAGAATTAGAATGCAACAAGATAACCTGGGAGTAAGTACATCAAGCTCTGTAGTGAGCGTGAGCCGCACACTGGAATTGTCTCCTACAAGACAACAGTTTGCAGCTATTCCTAATCAAGGATCATGATCCTCCAACGCACTATAAATCAACCTGTAAAACAGAGGAAACAAAAAGGACGATGAGAGCAGATCTTAAAGGTTAGAATAACTGATGTTAATGGTAGGATTTCAAATAAGAAAACGCTCTCTCCTATTGGATTACCAAAATATGGAAAGAAAGAGGAGAGAAACAAGATAGACTAGTTTGAAAAGCCTTTTCTTCTTTTCCCAAGTTAACTGATTGAATATCTCGGTAACATCTACCAGGTGCTGTCGCTGAGTGTACCTAAAATCATGAGGAAAAGACACACGTCAGACAGATCAAGAAGCTTGACATGAATTACCAGCACCAAACAAGTCAAGTATTCGGCCCAATCTCAAAATATGCTAGATATCAGTAGTTATGATATCCACTGTAAATTAGTTAAACTACTGCAGAGTGAATCTCCAAAGAGAGTAACCATGAGACCTCCTCCGATTCTCAACCATCCCAACACAAATTAACCAATCCAAAAACTAATGATATTAATCTAAATCTCATAATAGATTATTGGTGCTTCAAAACAATTCATACATTCAAAGAAAAAAGCTATAGGGTTCATAACTTGGATACTTTCAACTGTTACCCACCCTGCACTTGGCTACCAAGCGTTAATTGCAGGCATGATATGCCCTCTCTTTCAAAGTAAACAATTTGACCTTAATTTGGAAGGCAGAGCCCAGGACAATAAATGAGGTTCTCATAGGTGAAATTGGTAACCAATTTGACGCGTATACCCCACTAATAATTATACAATCGTATCTCTTCTTTTATTTTCCCTTTTTCTTTTAATTTTATAGCCTGCTGTCAATACTTCTCAATTTAGTTTACAATCTGATCAAATATGCAGGAACAAGAGAAACTTACAATCTCAAATTGTAATAGAGGTAAGGCGCACAAAATAATGACATAATCCAATGCCCTGTCAAAAGATAGAAGATGCACAAGACTCCTTGGGTGATGAACTCAGGTAAAACCACTTTGTTTATCCGTGACGAAGAGTCATAAGGGTTGATATAATCAAACTCAAGATCAGCTAAGCACATGAGCTGCAACAAGTTTCAAAAGGAATCTTAAAATCCTCAGTTCCAACATTGTTTCACCAATAGTACTAGGCAGTTAATAGTACAGTATGTCAATTCAAATATTCATATGCAGGGATTGCTCGTATCATTAACACAGTAAACGAACTAAGATATCTACTGTGCAGAACAACACCAATGAACCATGCAAACATCCAAAAAGCCGTAGCTACTGTTGATAGATTACAACCCAGCGCGAAAGAGCAATTCTGTACCAAACAGGTCGTAACAATTACAAGGTACGCCAAGAACCAATGATGTCTCTGGTAAATGTGCTAGATGATTAAAAATCGCACAATCGCATTTGATTCCCAAAGAACAGACAGGTGGAGAACCCACTTGATGAAATCAAAGGGGATTCAAATCAAACGTCAATCTGGCAGCTTGAGATAAGGCTATCCATGAGTAGGAAGTGAAAGATATCTTCAAGAGTAATGACTAAGAATTTCTAATTAAGTCTCTAGATTGTTTAACGTCCAGAAGACAACTTAACACAACAGTATTCAATCAAGTAATTTCGAAAATACACATACAAAAACAAATCCAGGAAAAAGTAAAAGCTAACCAATTGCTAAAAAGTAGAAACAATACAACTCATATTGTCACTGGCAGAACGCAGAAGCCTAAATTCACCGGAAAGGCAATAGAAGGAGGGGAGAAGAAGACAGAAACTTCAACAAAACCAAGGATTAAAAACTAAAGATGCACAAATTCTAGGGTTTAGAGAAAACCTGGAAAACGACGAGTATGAGAAGCGATATGATGAAGAAGAAGGAGAGGAGCCAGGCATAAATATCAGCCATACTAATGAAATGACCTCAACCAAGTCCTCCTCTCTCGTCTCTGTCTCTGTCTCTGTGTGAGCGATTTGAAATCAATGCGACGGCATCGTCAGGAAGCATACATGCGCTTCAGGTGGCCGAAATGGACGACGGCGAGGGGACCAAAGAAAATAGCAAATTTGCAGAGAACGCCTAATATCTACGCGCAGAGGAGTAATCGCATCTTGGATGATCGGAGCTTCACAAGGCGACGGAAGGCGTCGAGAAATGGTTTCCTTGTTACAGAGGCAATTCAATCTCTTTTTTCTTTTTTCTTTTTTCTCTTTTTGTTTAGGACTCTTCTTTTTTTTTTTTTTTTAATACAATTGTTTAGGGCTCTTCAATATCTTAAAAAAGGTTAAATTACGCCAAATGACATTATGATCAGTTTCAATTTTGTGTACTCCCTATCATTTTAAACTTTCGCCTCTACTCCAAATCTTTAAAATTGTTATTTCAAAACAATTAGTTTGTCAACTTTTCTACTAAAAATAAAACAAAAATGTGACGTCGTGGATGTAGTGGGAGCAAATTAAAAATAAGAGGTACAATGTAATGTACCTAGGTAGCCTCAATTATGCCTCTAAAATTTGGGACAAGTTCAATTCAATTATGCTGGTTGCTTCAAGAGTTTCATTTTAACCTCTTTTAACACTCAAAATTGTTTCAAAATAATTATTATATTAACTTCTTCAAATTAGGTAGCAAAATAGATTTGGGGGTGTCAAAATTTGAGTCGAAAAGCCATTGATTGATAAAGGTCAAAAACGACAAATTGTTAAAGTTGAAGTTATGGTTGTCTCTGGTTTATTTGTTTTTGTTACTTGATTGTGAGAGGGTGTCTAAAACTCATTTATTGCCTATGATTTGCTGATACCTTGAAAATTTTGTTTCTCGACAAAATATCATATGACACGTGAAACAATATTTCATCCTAACTCCCAAAACTATTTCCTCTCTAAAATGATATCATTTCACATGTGACTACCAGTTAAAAGTTGTTTTAAAAAAGAGAGAGTAAAGTTGCATCTAGGCGAGTTTTTTCTTTTCTTTTTTTTAGTGTAAGTAGTTGTGAGAATGAGAGATCGAACCATCAATTTTAACAACGATAATAGGTATTTTGTCCATTGAATTATATATTTCTTTAAGTAGAACAACATGTCGGAGTAAGATTTAAACCCTCAATCTTTTGGTTAAAGATATATGTTTTAATCAAATTAAATTATGTTCAAGTTGGCTCATGCTACATTTGGATTGATTGAGTTATCTTTAAGTGGGTAAAAGTCATGATATTAAATTATCTCAATATTGCATAACAATAACAAATACAATATTTACCATTACAGTCTTGCAACCGTCTCAATTCATCAACAACGTTAAGATTTAGGTGTTAACTGATAAGTAGGTATATATCATCCCACGACAAATGTATACTGGTCCAATGCTTCCTCTCAGGAGTTGAATCCCCTTCCCACAGTTCCACTTCCACTCTCCTATAAATGTAATAGTCTCGAAAGAAAAAAAAAATGTACAGTTTTATTTGGGTGGAATGGTTTAGTAGAAAAGAAAAATTGGAGAATAAGGTTAAAGAGAGCAACGCATATAAAATGGTGTGTCACTGTTACAGTTGCAGAACTGGTTAGGCTCAGGCTCATTTCAAGCAGACTATGAAGTTCCAGATTTTACGCGTTCTTCTTACAATTTTGGCCATTTTCCTGGCAATGAATCCGGTAAGCAAGAACCCAGGAGGAATTGGTGGAGCAACAGCAACATCTCTGGTTTCCTTGCCAATTTCTTGACTGCAATCACCAGCTTCTCCAGAGCTATTATTGCTCTTCCGAAGATAGAAGCTTCTGCTACCAATTTCCCCAATTATCTCTGCCCTGTCAAGACCTGTGGCAGAGGACACAAACACCAAAAAAGGCTTACTACTACACAATGCAATTCAATTTGAAGAAGCTGCAAACAAACGCCAATATATGAACAGATTTCCACTCATATACTTTGGAGGCTAAAATACGAGTGATGCAATTCAAACGCCGATGCTGAATCCCGCTCAAGTTTTGGAGTTCTTCCTTCTTCGCCATATTTGGCGACAACAAGCTTTATCGTCTCCTCCACGCTAGATCCCAATTTAACCATGGTTCGAACTGGCCCTGGGCTCCCTTCAACAGTCACATTGATCACTACTTTCGCATCCTTCTTGTAGCCCTGCATTTCAGAATCGCGATCAGGGTCTTGGATTTTCAATGAGCATAGAATGAATCGGTTTTTCTTTGTATTGCGAAATTTGATTCCAAACGATGGGTTCATGAAGTTAATATAAGGAAAAATCTCAAAGAAATCTCAACTAATACGATCAAAGAGTAAAAAAGGCAACATCAGATGATTACTTGGCCCTGAAGCAAGCATATACATCAGGAACTAGTTTCAGACAATAATGACGCATTAATTATTCCTCCTTTCCTTTCCTTTCCTTTTCTGGTTATTTGACGATCAAAATGCGAGCTCTCGCAACAATAGGAACTCAATTGAAGAAGACTTCCTTTCGGCGGAAAAATCGATTGCAGAATTTACACACATCAATTAAATTATATATTAAACAAGGCGACAAAAATCATAGACCAATCAGAATCGGAGCCCTAAGTATAACCTCGAAGCCTCGACGGGGGGAAGGTATCAACAGAGGTGATGACGCAAAGGCTTCCGAAAACGTATGCGGACGGAAAAGAATCGCTTCCCCTTCCCTCTCCGACCGCTCATCTCCATCGCCGGCGTCGGCGTTGGCGTCATCGGCGTTGGCGTTGGCGTCGGCGGTCCAAAGGTTCGGCTCGGACGAGCATCTGGTGAATTTGGAGGGCTTGGAAGGACGGCGATTTCTGGGGGGAGTTGCCCGGCGCGGGGACGGAGAGAGATTCTGGCGTCTGATGTTGTTGGAGAGACCAGAAGTGGGCGGAATTCTGCGCCGGAAACTGCTGCTCGACATAAAAAAGTGAAATCGGCGGGGGAGATTCGGAATCCGTCTACTGGAAGGGAAGTTGAAATATTGGGGAAGGGATAGTTGACAGTTTGACACTTGGGAGTTCATGAAAGTTACCTTTTCAGCGGGGGTTTGTTTTATGGTCCTTTTCCACAACGGAAGCGTCGTCGTTTCGCTTAAAACGCCCTTCTCTTCTCGCGTCTCGGGGGATTTCGCTGGGCCCCGCCCGCAGCCGACCATGGCATCATATTCGTATTGAAATTCAAGACTTCCAAAATATGAGATGACACGCGTATTCAACTCTTTAATCTTATAATAAATTTATGGTTATATATATATTTTTTAAAATTTTAAATATTATTTTTCTTCTCTAGTTAGTATATTTGAATGATTATAATTTTTTACTCCTAAAACGTCTATTTTGATTTCTGTACTTTTAAAAATTGATCATTTTGTTTCCTATTTACGAAATTTTATACACAACAGAAATTCTTTAGTACGAATTTATACTAATGCTACATTTCTATAAATTTTAATGAGTGTCGAGTGGAATATCATGCTAATATTGTGATTGAAATAAATAAGATCAAAATGAAAAAAAAGAGATCAAAATAATCAATTTTTAAAAGTAGGACTACTAAAATGAATATTTAAAAGTATAGGAACTAAAATAAATAAAAGTTAAAAGCACATAAATAAAAACGATCATTTGAAGGAACAAAAATCAACATGAACCAAAACTGAAAATCCAGAACCAAACTAAATATTTCTTCAATTTTAAAAGTTTAAATTTAGTTATTTTTATAATTTTGAATTTTAACTTTTTTTTAGAACTTAATTTAAATTTGACCCGTGTAGTTTTAGCATTTTTAATTTGTTCCTTACAGTGGTTAAGTTTTTCACAAAATTATTCTTATCATTACCGAAGTTAACACATGATATACTTTTTGCTTTTCTTTAGGTTACAATGAGTTAGAAATTTAATTAGCTATTATGTTAACTAATTATATTGAAGTATGTGGGTTACGTAAAAAATATATATGGAAAGTGATAGGCCTGTACTAAATTAAAATTAAAATGTTCAAAGTTTGAATCTCAAACTTCCACATGTTGTTGAATTAAAAAAAAAAACAACATTTTCATAAAACTTGGAGCACTGTTGGTAATAAATACAATACCAGAATTTAATGATAATAATACAAAAGAACTAAAATTAAATAAATATGAAATTTTGCAAACAAAAAAATGTAGGTACTACGAAAATTAAACAAAAAATGTATTTAAATCTAATTTTGAAATTAAGCGTCAATAGTATATCAACAAATTGACGTGACGACGTATACTAATAATGCAACTTATTCTAAAAATAATAATTATGATAATAATGCAAGTTATTTAATTTGTAAATTATAACAATAATGCATTTTCTTTTTGGTATGACATATTCTAATACTAATAATTGCATGACATATCTTTACATGGAAGTTTCTTTTATAGGAAAAATAATAAAAAGCGAATGTGATTCCAAATTTAAATCTTCGTACCCCATATTTATTTTATTAAAAGAATAAAAAAATAATTTTAGTAAATCAAAAAGTCAAATATTTGAGAAGCTCATTTGTATCCTATGAATTACTGAAAGTGAAATATCTTCCCCCCAGCCTAAACTTTGCAAACTAATAGATTGCTCTTTAGACCGTAGATTCGATTTTTTTTTTTTTTTTTGAGTACTAGACCGTAGATTCAATTCTCTTTTCTTAGTTGCAATATATTATTCTAAAAGAATTAAATTACATTTTTTATATGTTGTGTTTTAAAATTTAATTTCAATTTAGTCAGTTTAACCATTTCATTACTGTTTCTATCCCTTTATTAAATATTTTTAATTAACAAAAATTGACTATAGTCTAGTGATGAAGCACATATACTTTACAGGGATCTCGACTATAGGATTGAACCATCGATCTTAAGAATAGTAATAGATGTGTCACATTGATACAACTGAATATATCACTTATACACTTAGTGTATCAATAAGAAACATACAATGTTACTTAAACTCCAAAAAGGATTTATCGATAATATACCTAAGATAGAGTATTTTTATTTTTATTTTTTGAGAAATATACCTAAGACAGAGTATATCATTCTATGTGACTGATAAATTTCATATTAGATATATTAATGGCGATAACAAAATTAGAGTAACAAAGAAAACAAAAATATGACTTCACAAATTTTATCATATTTACAAATCATAAAATTGTTATATTTGTAAATATCGAAAATATTTCTTGCAACACATTCAAAATACCCCAAATCTAATCAATGGAATTTAGTTGTCTAATTTGATTTGTAATTATATATTAAAAAATGCAAATAAGGTTATATTATCAGCATTTCATGACATTTCAAAAGAGACCAATGAAAATAATTATTCATTTCGAAGTGATTTAAAGTCATAAATTGTCAACCTCGATATGAGACTTAAGTACCTATCTCCAATTAAAAGTCGCAAGTTCGAATTTCCCATACTAGAAAGTCACAAACTAATGATCAAAGATTCAAATATTAGGAACAGGACAGGCATGAGAATTATGACTATGTTCTCATTTCCAATATGCAAACTTGTCATTAATATCGCTCGAGATTTGGCTGTAAAGAGAACAAAATATAAATAAACTAATACTACGAAATGTAGTTGTTTTAAAATTTTTATTCAAGATTCAAATCTTTCTAACCCTACTTAATACCTCTGTTTTCTCGTCGGAGAAGGTTGTTCCGAGCAAAATGCGAAGGATATTCAAATTTCAGAGTGCTCCATCCAACTACACCCAGATATCTTGGCAAATACTTTATTTCCCATGGTTTTTCTCAGCCTCTTAACATCATCCCACCTCTCCACAGCAGAGTAAATATTGGCTAGAAGAGACCGATAACCGGTTGTATCGGTCACCAACTTCGAGCAATTCCGAGCCGCTATCTCACCGAGCTCAACATTGTTATGTAACCTGCAAGCATGGAGAAGGGCTCCCCAGACACCAGCATTAGGCTGCATTGGCATACTATTTATAAGCTCATGTGCTTCTTCTAACCGCCCTGCCCTGCCCAACAGGTCCACCATGATTCCATAATGATCGGCCAATGGCTCAAGTCCATGGTCCTTCATACAGGAGAAGCAAAGGTAGCCTTCATCAACTAAACCAGCATGGTTATACGCTGTAAGAAGGCCAGCATATGTCACTAGATTCGGGCAGATGTTCACACTTAGCATCTCTCCAAATAACCCGATTGCGTCGAATGCCTTACCGTTTATCCCACATCCAAAGATCATAGCTGAATAAGCAACTAAATCCTTCTTTTTCAGACCATCGAACAGCTCAAACGCCCTTTTGATGTTTCCAGATTTTGCATACAAGTCTACTAAAGCAGTAGCCAAATGATCATCCAATTGAATCCCTAGCTTTTCCATATACGATTCAACCCAACTACCATAATTCAAATTACCCAACTGAGAACAAGCAGATATAATGCTAGCAAAAGTCATCTCATCCGGTTGGATATTCTCATGGGGTTGAAGCATTTGGTCGAACAACTCTAATGCTTCGTTTGGTAGGCTATTTTGTGAATAACAAGCAATCATGGCGTTAAAAGAAAGAAGCTCTTTCTCACCCATCTTGTCAAAGAGCTCACGAGCAGACCCAACATCCCCAAGCTTCGAATACCCAGCAATCAATGTAATCCAGGAAACATTATTTCTTTGAGGCATTACATCGAACAGGTTTCTTGCTGACTTTATGTCTCCATAGTTCATGTAACCGCTGATCATTGCGTTCCAAGAAGCGGAACTTTTCTCCCGCATCTGCTGGAATAAACAGGACGCTTCATCCATATTTCCAGAATTGGCGAATCCCGACAACATTGAATTCCAAGATATAACATCTTTCTCGGGCATTTCATCGAACACTTTCTGAGCGTCAACTAAGTTCCCAATTTTAACATGACCAGACAAGATTGAATTCCACGAAACAACATTTTTTTCAGTCATATCATCGAACACCTTCTGAGCAAAACTCATATCACCCAGTTTTGAGTAGAAATCCACAAGGGCGGTCTGCACGTAAACACAGCGACAGAACCCAAACTTATAAACCTGAGCATGAACAAAACTCCCACCAAACTTGCACATAATCCTAGCGCAAGCTCTCAGAGTGGAGGATACACCAAATGTGCTCGGATGTAGTCCCAATGTCTGCATCTGAACATAATGAGAGAAAGCTTCGACGAATTGGCCGTTCTGGGAAAAGAACCGAACGGCGCAACCCCACGAGAAGGCATCTGGATTTTGCGAATGGCGAAGGATTCGTTGGAGATAACAGGATACAATTCTGGCACAAGTGAACTCAGAACGAGTGATTTGACGAACCAAGAGAGTCTCGAGATGTCGAAGCCCATTGACGATAATTCGGGAATGGATTTGACTTGCCTGTTTTACATTCACAGAGCATTTCTTATTCAATAAGATTTGTAGCTCGGAAGCGAGCATCAGAATTCGAACCGCTTCTTGAATTTGCGTGTGTTGTGTTCATCTGACTCGTCGCTCAAGGGGGCAGAAAAAAATGGCAAATTCACGAAATTTGGGTACTTTTCTTATTGCATCTATTTCTAATGTGAAAATTTTGAGTGTTAATTGTTAGCTTTTTTTACCTTAAATTTTTAAAAAATAATTGCAATCTTATAATCCACCTCCTTTTCTTTTCTTTCTTTTCTTTTTTTTTTAATACAAATCCACCTCCGTTTCATTCATTCAATTTTGTAATGAATATATATAGCCAATACAACCGGATAAGAATTCAAATTCAAAAAATCAGAGATAGATTTCTAATCAATTTAATTATGTTCAACTTGTCAATTTTACCATCAATATAATTTTAAATTTTTAAGATCTGTGACCAACAACAAACATCTTAATCCTAAGTATTGTTTCTCTATTTAAGTTAGATGCTTTAAATTAGTTGGATTTGAACATTTTGTTTCTAACTTCGAATATTATCTATTTGCTCGATTTTGTGGTTAAATTCTAATAATTGAGGTTAGACATTCCTTTAATATGATTTTGAGTACAGCATGTGGGGACGAGGTTCGAACTTTTGAGTGTTTGATTAGAATTTTGTTTGAGTTATGTTATAACTTTTAGTTTTGAATTGTAATATATTTATACGTAAATATACCATGTTATAAACAACAACCTCGTCTAGCTCAGTTGGTAGAGCGCAAGACTCTTAACCTTGTGGTCGTGGGTTCAAACCCCACGGTGGGCGACTTTTTTATTGTTCTATTCTTTTTCCTTACCTTGTGGTCGAGGGTTCGAACCCCACGGTGGGCGATTTTCTCCTATTGTTATATTCTTTTTCCTTTATCCTTCCGGGCCCTTTTATGTTGGGCTTCGCCGACCCTATGTAAAATCACGGAGTCCACTTTGTAATTCAAGTAGAGACCACAGACAGAAAGTCTATTTTTTAATTACAGAAAATAGAAAATAATTTTAAAAAATGATGAGATGGAAATTGAACCATCTACTTAAAATGGTAATAGATATCCTTATAACCTATACTTAAATTTGCAGCTACGAAAGTGCAATTTATACAAATATTGAAACTAATATTTTCTTGGTATCTCCATAATGGTATGATGGTATTATTCGCTTTGAGCATAATTCTCACGACTTTGCCTCACACCAATAGAGATAATTATCCACATCAATATACTATAGATTACTCATCAATATGAGACTTTGTTTATACAATTTACGACCCAACATTTGGTACAGTTGACAACATTTTTTTAAGTATAAAAAATGTGGATAGAAGGTTAAGTTTTCAATAAAGCAATTGATACTTTATCTATTAAATTATGTTCAAAGTCGCACTACCTATCTAACCTATTACTATTCTCTTACACTTCTGGTCTCACAAACGTGCACTTCCCTTATGCATCCAGCCGCTTCACTAATGTGAATAGGTTATTCAGAAGGGTAGGATAGTTATATACTCTTATGCGCGGTCCTCTTTCATTGCTCTCTAATTAAACTTCTACTTCATTTTTTAGACATCTTCTTTTATTATTTTCTGGAGCATAAGAGCTAGGGTAAACTCGTCAGCTAGATATCGAATCGTGCATAGTTCTGTTTGATCGAGATATGAATGTCCATGATCTGACTCTCAATCAACACTCATTCAAGATCTATTAAATGAGAAAATTTCGACTCACTGTCACACCAATATTCATTTTAAAATTATAGATTTTTTTTTCAATTTTACAACCTTTTTATTCCAATGATTAATTCTTTCCATTTTTTTCTTATTAGGTAAACAACACCTCGATTAAATGTTTTCTAAAATAAAATAGTGGTGTAATTTTTATGATTAATAAAATGTCCCAAAAAACCAAAGGATTCGACAGAAGAAGAAACTTATTGATGTAATTATTATAAGGGATGGTAACCACGTGGTAAAAAAAAACAAAATAAATAAATAAAACCTAGTGGGTGGTGGGGCCCATGAATCATACATTGATTTGAACAAACGAGCTGTTCCATGGCCAATATTATTCCCTTTTAATCCTTTTTCCCCTAATTATTACCCATAACTTTAATAAATAAAAAGCAACCAAATTCGTAAAAAATGATCTTTTATTTTAATCATTTGCTGGACTTTTTACGTCTTTTCATCATGAGGTAATGTCTGCCACCTCATCTTTGCCGTACACGTGTCTGCTTCCTTAGTAATCATAGGCGCCTTGTACGGTGATGGGCCCTACTCCTTTTTCTATCGAAGCCCAACAACACAGAGAGAAGCCCAATTAAGGACAGTCATGATGGGCCGTGGCCATCATTAAGATTCTCATACGTCTGAAGGGTAAATTCGTGCGGTGCGTCCCATCTGCCATTTTTATCAGAAATTATATAAAATAGTGGAATTTAATGATAGCTACCAACTTTTTTCTTACTCAATACACTTGTATTCCATAAAATATTAAATCAAATTATATTTTCTTCTGATTTTATTCGATCAAATGTGATTCCGTGAAGAATAAAATGCAAATTAACAACTTTTTTTAATTTAATATTAATATCTATATGGTGATTTTGATAATCACATGTCAGTTGGATGGCCTTCTTCGGCCCATGGACCTTATGATTCTAAGTAAGCCCGAGATCATGGGCCAAACTAACATGGTTCAAGCCCGGTTGGGAATGTTGCCCAAACCCCATCCAATGTGGGGCAAAAATGTCATTAACCATTCAATAAAATTATCAAAATTGAGTTAAATTACCGTTTTTGTGTCACTTAGTTTCTATTTGCTTGCAGAGACTTTAAATTTTGAATTTAATCATTGTAGTTTGATCAAATTTGAGAAATTATACCTACCTATCGTACTGAGTATGTTACATACTCAGGATCTATGTACTTGTATTTGACTATTGTGTTAGTCGGCTATATTAAGGTACATGATGAGTAAAAATGGGAAAAAAATGACGAGTAAGAAATAATTAGAGACGATTTATGAGGTTTAAAAAAATCAAATTGAAACTTAAAAATAATGGGACTAAGTTGAAACTACGTCTAAGTTGGGCTAAGTTGAATTTTTTTACCATCACAATAATCAAATTGAAAACAAGTCAAAATTATAAGGACAAAATTGGTAATTTAACTTAAAAATTAATAAATATTATATAAATTTTGAACATTTTAGTTGACCCTTTTTTTAGTATATCAAATTGGAAGTAAAGAAGAAGAGTAGTAAATATCCATTATCAGTTAAGTATACTCAGGAGAAGAACATTTTATTTGACTTTTGATATAATAAGTTGTTGATTTACATTTTAGGTTGGGAAGATGACGTGCTAAGTACTATGAAAAATATGACATCATGTTTTAAAAAATCGTTATTCATTAAAAAAATATAAAGATATCATAAAATAGTAAAAATCTAAACTCAAGAGATCCATGGTACCTAATGCATTAGTCAATTTAAACACCAAACGATTTAAAGAAAATCAGATAATAAACATATAAAAATAACAAATAAAGAAAAAAAAACTCCCTCATGTGATTGAATAACCGATTTATTTTACTTTTGAAAAAAATGACATATGAAGGCTGAAAATAAAAGTAAGGTACTTATAACAAAATTTTGTTTTATTTATTTTTTTGACTAAAAAATGAAATAATTAAAGATATTAACTACGCAAATTGGGTCCATAATACCAAACAATCGCATTTAATCATCAAATTGCGACGGAAGTACGCAAATAAAAAAATAATATAATTCTAATTATTAAAATGATAATTATACCTGCGCGCACGCACTTTTATACAGTGTAAAATAATTGTAAAAATGTACTGAAAAATAAATAGAATAAAATAATTGTAAATGCACAACATAATAATTAATATACGGTTCTGGTGGGTTCACTGATTGCAAATAGATTTTTCTTAATGCAAGGCAAATTCATCATTCGGATTTTTTCTCTGTTTTTAATACAGAAAATATCAAAACTTTTCAGATAATAATAATAATAATAATAACAGAAAATATCAAAATTAAATTAAATTGATTTAGTTGAGGAGCTTTTGGTTGGTTGCGATTTGTTTTTCTAGGATCAAATCATAATAAAATTAATATATTTGAGAGACTGTTTTTCAAAGTTATCTTTTTAAATTAATTTCTCTAGAGGGGGGTTACTTTGAGGATTAGTTGAAATTGTTATTTGAAAAAAAAAACATTAAAAAAGTGTCAACAATAATGAAAGCCATCAAACAACAATTGAGGGTATTTTGTCCCCCCAAAAAAAACCCACAGGGCTTATATTTATGTTCAGAGTTCAATGTGATAAAATAATTAAAATCTAGGTAAAATGTACGTAAATCTAAGTACAAATAAGAAGTTTAGGAATAGAAATTCTAAACACACAGTCATCTCAATCTCCACAAAACATCCCAGTACAATTTAAAAAATAAAGTAGAAAACTTTATTTTTTTTCTAAAATTTGTAACGGGTGACAAATAGTTTTTCATATTTACAAATACGGCACAAAGAATAACATTTTTAAAATATAACAATTTTGTAGAGTGAACGTCTATCAATAATAGACAATAGATTGATAGATATCTATGAATGATACACTATTAAATGTGCAAGGTTGAGATATGTTGATGAGTTTTTCAAAAATTTTGATACATTTATAAATCTTTTTAGTTTATGTTAGATATATTAGATCATATTACTAGACGTGGAATATTATATTGTAGGTACGAATAGTATATAATATATAAGATATAAGATATATATTATTGTTAGGGAGAAAATGTGCTTGGAAAAGGAAGAAGATAAGGGGATTGTAGTTGTTGTTTGGTTGCACAAAGAAAGAGAGAAGCTAGCAAAGTTGAGTTCTTTGAACATGTTTGAAAACTTTCATTTGTGAAAGCAAAGGCAAGAAGAAACAAAAGGGGGCTTGGTTTGGTGTTGTTCATAAATCAAAGCCCTGTCTTTGTAATGGTTGAGATTTGTTAATGAGCAGTCAATTTAGGGGAAAAAGTGTCATATCTGTCGTCTTAATGGCTTCAAATTTTCAGCCTGCAAAGGAAGGTGGATTACAGTTGGAGTTGTCCATTT